CACAGGGCAGCGTTTCGTGTCCCCATAGGGAGCACCGCCGATGGCCCCAGTGGGCGGGGGATCGCATGCGGTTCCCCTACGCAAGGCAGCGTTTCGTCTCCCCATAGGGAGCGTCACCGAAGGCACAGAAAAGGAGGTGTCCGCATGCGGTTCCCCCACCCAGGGCAGCGTTTCGTGGCCCATAGGGAACTCCACCGTAGGCCCCAGTGGCTGCTCTCGCATGCGGTTCCCCCGCCCAGGGCAGCGCTTCGTGTCCCCATACAGAGCCCCACCGCAGGCCCCAGTGGGGGTGCCCGCATGCGGTTCCCCCACCCAGGGCAACGCTTCGTGGCCCCATGGGGAGCTCCACCGTAGGCCCCAATGGGGGTGCTTGCATGCGGTTCCCCCGCCCAGGGCAGCGCTGCGTGGCCCCAATAGGAACTCCAGCGAAGGCCCCAGTGGGGGTGCCCGCGTGCTCTCCCCCACCTTGGGCATCGCGTGCTGTTCCCCACCCAGGGCAGCGCTTCGTGGCCCCATAGGGAGCTCCGCCGATTGCCCCAGTGGGGGGGTCGCATGCGGTTCCCCACCCAGGGCAGCGCTTCGTGTCCCCATAGGGAGCCCCGCCGATGGCCCCAGTGGGGGTGTCCGCATGCGGTTCCCTCGCCCAGGGCAACGCTTCGTGGCCCCATGGGGGGTTCCGCCGATGGCACCAATGTGGGATGTCGCATGCGGTTCCCCCACCCAGGGCAGCGCTTCGTGTCTCCATAGGAGGCTCCGCCGACGGCCCCAGTGGGGCGGGGGGGTCGCATGCGGTTCCCCCACCCAGGGCAGCGCTTCGTGGCCGCATTTCGTGGCCCCATAGGGAGCTCCGCCGATGGCCCCAGTGGGGAGGGGTCGCATGCGGTTCACCCACCCAGGGCAGCGTTTCGTGGCCCCATAGGGAGCCCCACCGAAGGCCCCAAAAGGGGGTGCCCGCATGCGTTTCCCCCACCCAGGGCAGCGCTTCGTGGCCCCATACGGAGCTCCGCCGAGGGCCCCAGTGGCTGCTCTCGCATGCGGTTCCCCCGCCCAGGGCAGCGCTTCGTGTCCCCATACGGAGCTCCACCGTAGGCCCTTGTGGGCGTGCTTGCACGCGTATCCCCCGCCCAGGGTAGCGCTTCGTGGCCCCATGGGGAGCTCCACCGTAGGCCCCAGTGGGGATGCCCGCATGCGGTCCCCCACCCAGGGCAGCGCTTCGTGTCCCCATAGGGAGCTCCACTGAAGGCCCTAGTGGGGGTGTCCGCATGCTCTCCCCCACCCATGGCAACGTTTCGTGGCCCCATGGGGAGCTCCACCGAAGGCCCCAGTGGGGGTGTTCGCATGCGGTTCCCGCACCCAGGGCAGAGTTTCGTGGCCCTATAGGGAACCCGACCGAATGCATTGCTCACAAAGACGGTACTCACAACTGCATATGGTTGGTTCCTTCGCCAGGCCAATTTGACAGGGATGGTGGTGGGAGGCCGCATCGGCTTTGCTGCGCATGCTCCGAATTTGGAGGCAGAGTGTGTTGTGAATGGTTTTTGAAAAGGGAAAGTGCGGGGGGGGGGCGCCTTGTCCCTGGTTGGCTTTCAGTCGCTTGGGGGAGGGGGTGTATATTAATATGGAACAGTGATAACCCCTCCCCGTAGGGGAAGAGGGGTTTGTTGGAAGAGGGAAGAAGAATCCTGTTAGACCACCTGCGCCCAGAGGGCTGGTGGTGTTGGATACTGCCAAGCAGGTGAGACGAAACAGGGGAAGCTCCTTAACGGGGCCACGGAACGCGTGAGGGTGTGCCGACATGGGCGGGGGGGGGCATGTGGACACCGCCGCCAAGGCCTTCGGCGGTGTTCCCTGGGGGCAGGCCGCGAAACGCGCGAGTGGCATGCCGAAATGGGTCGGGGGAGGCGCACGTGATCACGGCCACTGGGGCCCTCGGCGGAGCGCTTGGGATCCGCCTGGAGGGCGCCTGGGAACGCTTGGGGGCGCCTGGCTTGCGAGCGCGTGGGGATATGCCTGGGAGCGCCTGGGAAACGCTTGGAGCACTTGGGAACGCTTGGGGGCGCGTGGGGGCGACTGAGGACCGCTTGGGAACACTTGGGGGCGCGTGGGAGCGCCTGGGAGCATGGGGGAGCGCCTGGGAGCACCTGGGAGCGCCGGGGAAGCGCTTGGGAGCGCCTGGGAAGCCGGGAGCGCCTGGAAGCGCCTGGGAGCGTCTGGAAAGGTGGGGGCGCCTGGAAGCGCTTGGGAGCGCTTGGGAGTGCCTGGGAGCGACTCCCACTGGGGCCTTCTGTGGAGATCTCTGTGTGGCAACGAAACGTGTGCGGGGTGTGCCGAAATGGGGCGGTGGTGCCATGCGAGAGCCCTCCCACTTGGGCCTTAGTTGGAGCTCCCTACGGGGCCACGAATCGTACGAGGGGTGTGCCGAAATGGGGCGGTTCTGCCACGTGAGCCCTCCCACTGGGGCCTGCGGTGGAGCTCCCAATGGGGCCACGAAGCGTGTGAGGGGTGTGCCGACATGGAGAGGTGGTGCCATGCCAACTCTCCCACTGGGGCCTTAGGTGGAGCCCCCTATGGGGCCACGAATCGTGCGAAGGGTGTGCCGGAATGAGGCGGTGGTGCCAGGCGAACCCTCCCACTGGGGCCTGCGGTGGGGCTTCCTATGGGGTCCAGAAACGTGTGAGGGGTGTGCCGAAATGGAGCGGGGGTGCCATGCGACCCCTCCCACTGGGGCCTTCGGTGAAGCTCCCTACGGAGCCACGGAGCGTGCGAAGGGTGTTCCGAAACACATTCGGAGGGCAGAGGCAAGGAGGGGGAAGAGGGAGGATGTGGACGAGGAGGGAAGGAGTGACGCGGGGCGCTCGCTGTCTCTTCAACACGAGGACCCAACACCACAGGATGGTTTGGAAAAACTGATTCGGGGCAAAATCTTGCACGACATGGATCCTGGGAGAGGCCAGAGGACCGATTGCGAAGGCTTGACTGACGGCCGGTGCCGCCGACGTTGAAGAGGACCACGACGTCGGCGACGAAGTGGGCGGAGACGGAGGCCGTGGAAGATGAGGAGGAGGAGGAGGAGGCGAGGAGGAGGGGGAGGAGGAAGAGGAGGAGGATGAGGAGGAGGAGGAGGAGGAGGAGGAGGAGAGAAGGGAGGAGGAGGAGGAGGAGGAGGAGGAGGAGGAGAAGGAGGAGGAGAGAGGAGGAGGGAGGGGAGCGTGGAGGTGGAGGTTGGATCAGGAGGGGGAGGAGGAGGGGGAGGAGGGGGAGGGGGAGGAGAGGAGGAGGAGGAGGGGGAGGAGAGGAGGAGGAGGAGGTGGAGGAGGAGGAGAAGGAGAAGGAGAAGGATGGAGGTGAGTAGGACAGGGGGGTGGCGGGAGAAGGAGGAGTTGGAGGAGGAGTTGGAGGAGGAGGAGGAGGAGGAGCAGGATGATGATCATGATGATGATGATGATGATGATGATGATGATGATGATGATGATGATGATGATGATGATGATGATGATGATGATGATGATGATGATGATGATGATGATGATGATGATGATGATGAGGAGGAGGAGGAGGAGGAGGAGGAGGAGGAGGAGGAGGAGGAGGAGAGGAGGAGGAGGAGGAGGAGGAGGAGAGAGGGCTCTGGCGGCGCAAAACCTCGATCTTCGAGCCTGGGGTTCGGAGTCCGCAGAGTGAGCAGGAGGAGGAGGAGGAGGAGGAGGAGGAGGAGGAGGAGGAGGAGGAGGAGGAGGAGGAGGGCAGGAGGAGGAGGAGGAGGAGAGAGGAGGAGGAGGAGGGAGGAGGAGAATGAGGAGGACAAAGGAGGGGACGAGGAGTAGACAGGTGGGTGGCGGGAGAAGGAGGAGTTGGAGGAGGAAGGAGGAGGAGGAGGAGGAGGAGGAGAGGAGGAGGAGGAGGAGGAGGAGGAGGAGGAGAATGAGGAGGACAAGGAGGGGACGAGGAGTAGGACAGGTGGGTGGCGGGAGAAGGAGGAGTTGGAGGAGGAGGAGGAGGAGGAGGAGGAGGAGGAGGAGGGCCGGGCGGCCGAAGAGAGGGCTCTGGCGGCGCCAGAAACCTCGATCCTCGAGCCTGGGGTTCGGAGTCCGCAGAGTGAGCAGGAGGAGGAGGAGGAGGAGAAGGAGGAGGAGGAGAAGGAGGAGGAAGAAGAGGAGGAGGAGGAGGAGGAGGAGGAGGAGGAGGAGGAGGGGGCGGGGGAATTGTTCTACATGTTCAGTCTTTCTTCATTTTCGGCCTCCAGGGGCCATTTTGGGAACCGGGAAGCCGCGCGGGGTTCCGGAACCGCGCGAGGACCTCGCCGGACGCGCGGGGAGTGAAAGCGTATTTGGGTGGCGACCCTTCCGGGGCCCCCCCCAGGACCCCCCTGGGACCCCCCGGGGATCCCCCCAGGACCCCCTCGGGACCCCCCCCCCTGCCGGGGAAGGGACAAAGGGAAGGGGCTTCCCTTTGACGTGGTTGCGACATGGGTGGACGACTACGACGACGACGACGACGACCGGCACAGCCCCTCACACACGCCGACAGGGTCGGCGGATTTTGAGCGGATTGGCCATCACATTCCCCAGTTGACCGGTTTTCTCGGGGCCCAACTAGCTCAGACCACCGGGCCGCCTCTAAGGTGGGAGGAGTGGAAGACAGGAGGAGGTGGAGGCCAGGTCGAGGAGGAGGACTCCTCCTCCTCGAGGAGGCCTGCTCCTCCTGGAGGAGCAGGGACATGAGAGTGGAGGGGATTCGGAGGGGCAGGGAGGTTAAGTTAGCCCTGTGTCCTGTCGACGCGGCGGAGTCCCCCCTGGCGCGGGCGAACGCCGCCAGTGGCCCCAAAGGGCCGTGCGGCATCAGCCGACGGGCCCTGTCGGAAAGCCGCGCGGGTTCAAGGTTGAGGGGTCCGCGTTGTGCCAGAAGCCAGCGCTGGCTTCGTCAGGGCACGTGCCTGTCGCAGAAGGGCATCCGCTTCCCGCCGCCGCCGCCCTTCCCCCCTCAGCGGTGTTCCCTTCGCAGAGGTGTGCCGTGGGCCCGGACGGCAAGCGCCTGAGGCTCGACGCGAGTCGTCGTCGTCGTCGTCGTCGTCGTCGTTGTCGTCGTCGTCGTCGTGGTGGTCGTCGTCGTCGTCATCGTCGCCGTCGTCGGCGTCGTCGGCGTCGTCGTCGTCGCTGTGATCGTCCTCGTCGTTGCTGTGATCGTCGTCGTCGTCGTCGCCGCCGTCGTCGTCGTCGTCGTCGTCGTCGTCGTCGTCGTCATGGTCGTCGTTGTTGCTGCGATCGTTGTCTTCGAGACCGTCGTCCTCGAGGTTGTCGCCGGCGGAGGAGGAAAACGGAGCAGGAGAGGCAGCAGGAGAACGGCAACAGGACGAGGAGGGAGAAGTGGAGGGCGAGGGTCGGTGGAAAAAGATGCCTGGAAGTGGGGCAGGAGGAGGGAGTGGACGAGACTCCCCTTCATGCTTTTCTTCTGCCTCTTCCTCCTCCTCCTCATCCTCCGTCTCCTCCTGCAACCTTCTATCGCCTCCCCTCTGCCTCCTCATGTTCCTCCTTGCACCCTCTTGGGGGCAGGAGAGGAAGCGGAGGAAGAAGAGCAACTCGCGGAGGAGCCGTGGAAGTAGGTCCCCCCAACCTCTTGCTATCCCTTTCTGGGGCACATCCCCCTGCTGTCTTTTCATTCCCATGCTGATTATGCTGCTCCGAGTGTTTCCCCTCCATCCTCCACATACCCTCCCCCTCGAGAAGCAGAACAATGCATCTGCGCAGCAGCAGGGAGAGCCACAGCAGCATGTGTGGCAGCATCGTGCGCAATCTCCGTCGTTTTCCGGATGCCGATCCACATCCTCTTCACCAGCCTCCTTATTCAGTGTTGTTTTCCGTCTGATTGCCCTCGTCGTCCTCGCTCTCCCGATCATCAACCGCAGCCTCACTCCCCCGAGGGAGGCAGCAGGACGCGGAGCAGGAGCAGCGGCCCCCCCCCTTCGTCCGCGTCCATCTCCTGACCCTCCATTCTCTAGCTGCTAGTGCTCACCCTCCACCTCATCATCACCACCATCATCATCACCATCATCAACATCATCACCATCATCATCATCATCATCATCATCATCACCACGACCATCACCATCATCATCACCAGCAGCATCATCATCTTCATGTTACCGGCATCATCAGCAGCATATCATCGTCATCATCATCAGCATCATCAGCATCATCATCGTCATCATCATCAGCATCTCAGCAACCTCATCATCATCATCATCATCATCATCATCATCATCATCATCATCATCATCATCATCATTATCATCATCATCAGCATCATCATCATCAGCATCATCGTCATCATCATCACCATCATCATCATCGTCATAATCATGCTCCTGCCCATCGCCCCCCTTGAGCAGCAGGGGGACCCATCCTCACCCTGCACTTCCTGACGTTGCGCCGCCTCCTCTCCCTCCTCCTGCTCACCGTTCTCCTGCTGGTGATGCTGCTCGACCTCGTCCTTCCACTGCCCCGCCGCCGCCGTCCTCTCTCCCATGAAGCAGCATAAGGGGTAGCATGTTCAGCAGAAGGGTCAGCGTCGGGATGTCGAGGACGACCTGCAAAATTAACGCCACCAACGATCGGCGAGGAGCAGCGGTAGCAATCACCATCCTGCTCCGTCTCCTGCTGCTGCGTCTCTTGGTCATCACCCTGGTCCTCATCATCATGTCCCACTCATTCTCCTGATGCTGCTCCCCAGGGGATCCTGAAGACTCCTTTGCTTGTCCTTCAGGGTTCGCGGAACATTCTTTGAATTCGTCTTCGAAGTCTGAAGATTTCTTCTGCCATCCCCATGGTCCCGTCAGAGCCCTGGGGGTTTCGAAGGGAATGTGCAGGAGCATGCCCCCAGGAAAGAACTACCTCCCGAGTGATTGCGGGGACTGGCGCGAGGTCATCTTCTCACGAGTCTCTGACGTCAAAGGCGTGCATCGGCTTGCCAAATCCGCAAGGGCGTCCGGGGCATGATGGCCTGCGAGTTCGAGGGCGAGGTATTATTCAACTCTGTGGGCACCTTCGGCATTTCCAGCGCATCGGCATGATGGGCCAGGACATTTTGCTGTGCCGCGGGCGGTATTCTGCCCGTTGGGGGCGACTGGTCAGTTCAGCAATCCACTTATGCCGACGACCTGGAGGCGATCAGTGCGGGGAAACGATGGTCACTGCCAACGCTCTCCATGGTCGTCTTCCTCGGCGTCTTCAGTTTCGTGGCGCGAAGGATCAAGGCGTTGGGCGGCCTCGAGGTGGGCCGGATCGGCCTCCAGTGCGACTGGACCAAGCACGCAATGGGGCACCCACAGGCGAGGGTTGCTTGGGTAGCAGCCTGTTGCAAGGAGGCCGTCGAACGCGGCGCCATCCACGCGGGCGATCTGGCGTCGGGCTTGGTGCGCCTCGGCTTCGCGGCGATGGTCCTGGTATGAGAGAAGCCGCTACTAGGGCCAGCGAATGTCTGGCTCGCCAGCGGCGCGAGAAAGGACAAAAAGAGGGTCTGATCGCCGTGGGGGATTGGGTTCGTGTTGACGTGGGCCGGCAAATTACTGGCGAGTTGACCATGGTGGGAGTCGCCTATCAAGTTCAGAACCGAAGGCGTTGGGCACCTCCGCTCAGATGCGACTGCGTCGGGAGGACACTGCTGGATAGGCGGCTAGCACCGCCGAGCGGCGGCGCGCGAGGCGCTCGCAGGCGCGCGCTGGAGGTGGAGAAGGAATGATCCCATTGGGAGTTGGCCAAAGCAAGCGACCAGAACAGGGTCATCGCGGCCCTCGAGCTCCCTTGCACGATGTCCTGCGTGAAGCTGTGCGCACAGCCTGGGGGGCGCCGCTGGGGTTCGAACCTCCAGGTGGTGGATTCGACGGGCAACGCGGGGAACGCCTGCGCTGGGAACAGGGCCACGTCGACCAAGCGGCCGTTAAGGGTCCTCCTCGTTGTGCTTCTGTAGGAGCTGAGGTTGCACGAGGTGGCGTTGCGCCCGGACCGGCTGCCGCGCGAGGAGCACCAATAAGCGGGCGATCTCCGCAACGTGAAGACGTCGGACTTCGACGAGTCCCTCCGGATCCACGTGGCGGCCGCGGACCTGAAGTGGCACGTGCGCGACGAGATGGCGCGGGCATCCCAGGGGCTCTACGAGTCGATCGCCCAGTGGAGGGCCGCCGCCAAGAAGGACGGGACACCCGCGGCGAGGCGCGGCCAGCGGGGCCGCGGGCGCGCGCGCTCGACGCCGCGGTGACAGCGCCGCCCAGCGCGTCGTCGACGACGTGGCGCGTGCGGAGCTGGAGGCAGTGGCGGCGGCGCGCGGGGCCCCGCGCAACTTTTCCGGGCGGGGGCCCAGCGCGAGTGCGTATGGCGCGCCTGCGGGGCAGTCTTGAACCCCCACCCTCTGGCGGGCGCCGCCGCGGGATAGGCGCCCCCCTCCCGCCCGTGGGTTGAACGGCCCCGACGCATCGCCCCGAGGTCCTCTCTTCTAAACTGGAAAATTGAAAATCCCACTTTCAGAACTTCAGGAATTAATGTATTTCTATATCTGCGCCGGCAACTCCCCGGGAACTCCCCGGGAACTTCCATGGGGGGCGAAGCGCGCGCCCCGCGTGTGACCTCCGCGACGTCTTTTTCTGCGCCGGTAACTTCTGGGTAATTCCCCGGCAAGTGAATCAGATTCGTATCAAACTGGAATCAGAAGTGAATTTCTGATTCTTTGACGCCCGACAGTTTTAATTCCGAATTCTTTTTTTCCGAAGCCCCCAGAAGGGGGCGATCGATCGGGGCCGCTCATCCCATGGGCCCCCCCCTCTTTCCGCCGCGGCGGGGGTCCAGGGCGGCGGGGCGGGGGGGCGGGAAGGGCCCCCCCCTTCCGCGGTGGGCCCCGTAGAAGATGGGAAGAGCTTTGAGACCGCGTCCGTGCTCCATTGGCACGGCGCGGCAGGGGGGGCTGCAATGCCTGTGTCGCGGGGAGACGAGGCGGGCGAGGTAGGATTGGCGGGCCTCGACGCTAGCGGCGTCCAGTGGGGGGCCCCGGGGACCGCGGCCCCCGCGCCCCCTCGTCCGCCGCCCTTCCTCTTCGGTGACCCATCGCTCGGAGTGGCTCGCCCTCCCGCGCTGCAAGGCCCCCGTTTCCGCCGCGGGTAACAGAGAGATTCACGCCACTTTCCTCGTTCGTCAGCATCGCGCTGCTCGCGGGGCCATTCGAAGATATTCCCACCCGTCTCCGCCACCCGTGCAAGGGGCATCAACGCCACCCCCTCGTTTACCGCCATCGCGGCGCTTGCATGGCCATTCGAGAATACTTGGGGCACTTTTTCCCCGCATCCTACATGGGCGTTGTGTTTTCTCTGGGCGCCCCGCGCAGTCCACGCCCACGGGCTGTCCTCTTCGCGCCTCCACACTGATCAACATCAGCATCGTGATCATCATCCTCTTCATCATCATTCAATTCCTCACTCATTCACTCGCCCGCTCATCATCATCACCAGGCGGGAGCTTCGTTTTTGAGTGGGTTGCGAGGAAGTTCTATGGGGCCCGCGTAGATGCTAGTAACCAGAGCGGGTCATCCTAACCTCGCAGCAATCATCACTTTGGGGCCCTCCACGCTTAAATTTTGAAGAAGCCTCAGGCGGGGGCCTCGGTTGTGAGTGAGTTGCGAGGAACTCTTAAAGCGGGGGCCCCCTCCCTCCCTATGGGGCCCGCGCTTCCTGTTGGTAATTGGGCCCAGTCATTCAAACCTTGTATCCGTCGTCACTTTTGGGTTCTTCACGGATTTTGAAGGAGTCTTCGGCGGAAGCGTCGTTTGTCAGTGAATTGCAAGATGTCTCAGGCGGGAACCCCCTCGTCATGGGGCCCGCGCTTCATGTTGACAATCGTAGCGGGTCATCCAAACCTTGTAACAATCGTCACTTTTGGGCACCTCGCGCTTGAAGCAGCCTCAGGCGGGAGTCTGATTTGTGAATGACTTGCGAGGAGGTTTCAGGCGGGGGCCTCCGTCCTATGGGGCTCGCGATGCATATTGGCAATCCGAGCGGGTCATGCGAAACCTAGACCTCTCGCCAATTCTGGATTCCCCAGCCAGGCTTGAATGTTGAAGCAGTCGCAGGCGGGTGCCTCGTCTGTGAGTGAGTCGTGAGGAAGTTTTGAGCGGGGGGCCCTCGCTACGGGGCCCACTGCTCCATGTTAGAATCCGAGCGAGTCCTCGGGATCTCGTAGCTGTCGTTACTCTTGGGTTCTTCAGGAACGAAGGGGGATTCGTTTCCTCGCGTGCCAATCCGGGCGGAGCCATTTATGTGTTCTTAAGAGGACCACTCGCACGACTGTGCCCAGTTCCCTCATGCGGTGATGGCGTCAATATCGAGTGCGCCAGGGATGAGGACGCTGGTCGCACGGGCATATCGGACGAGCAGTGGTGGTTGCATCTCGGCGTCATGTTCTCATCTTTTTATATAAAGGGATTTCGCACGACCGCGGGAAAATTATTTCGGACTCATTCGGGACATCCTCTGGCATCCGTGTGAGATCCTTGGGGTTCTGGAGGGGGCCCGAAGGATTGCGCTGGCCATCCCGAAAACTCCGCCCGGTGCATACGTCAAGGCATACTTGTTATCTACACTGGCATGTTTGGGGTTCATCTGGGGCCCTTGTGGGATTCCTTAGGAACGCAGTCTGGTTCTAGTGGAATGTTTTCGGGTCCATGGAAAATGACACATCGTCTCTAAACAGACCTTTGGAGTTATTCGGGGACCTTTGTGGGCCCCAGCGAAATATTTCATGCATTCAAAAAAAATAGGTGGGTTTCCCGGGGAAAATTATTTTGGTTTGCCATGCGCCTTCAGGACTCGCGCCTGTTTAGGAGTCCTTAGGAACGCTTTGGGATTCGTTTGGGAAGCGCTGGGGGTCCAGACACAGTTTTTTGTTTGTGGTGGGGAGGGGCAGGGGCGAGGCAAAACAAACACAAACGCTCAATACACATCGGGGCACGGTTGTTTGTTACCTGGCCCCGCCTTACGTGGGAATTAATTTGCTGTTTGTGCGCGATTGCCGATTGATCCCGTGCTCGAGCGGTTTTGGGCGGACCCATAAGACATCCTGTTGATGCCTGTGGAATCCTTCAAGTGGTCCTGAGAGAAGAAGGGCTGAACGAAAAAGAGATGGGGGACGAGGTGCACCATGCGATGATGAGTTTCTCCACGGGGCGTCGGAGGGAGGAGCAGGGACACCACCACCACGGAGTGGAGGTGGAAAACACCGTTTGTGGTGGTGTCGTTAATCTTTGTTCCTATGGGTCTTTTCCTGAACTCGGCGCCGGCGTACAGTTCGCAGCGTGCTGCCAGCGCGGCCATCTGTGGGGCCTCGGAGGCAGATTGCTTGAGCCTTCGCTCGTTCGGGCGGGGATCGACCCTCGAGCTCCCTCCCCCTCCTCCCCCCTCCACCGCCCCCTCCCTCCCCCTGCCCCTGCCCCTCCCCCTCCCCCTCCCCCTCCCCCCCCCCCCCTCGCCCTCCCCCCATCCACCTCCCCCTCCCTCCCCCTCCCCCTCCCCGTCCCCGTCCCCAGGGGTTCGACCCTCGAGCCGCCCCCCCCTCCCGGCGTGGCGCGCCCGCGCTGCGGCCACCGCCCCTTCGCCGCGACAGGTTCATCGCTCCAGGCCACGTGCTCGGGGGGCTCCTCGAGCAGGCGGGGCTCCCGCGTCGTCGCCGTGGTCGTCGCCGCCGCCGTCGTCGCCGCCGTCGCCGTCACTCACTGCTCCCCACCGCTGCTCCCCGTTCCGCCCTCCCCCCCGCTTCCTCCCCCACCTCCCAGGAGGGGAGCGTGGTCACAAGCACGCGTCATTGCTGTTCTCCTGCGAGCCTGGGAAGATATCGGGCATGGAACGGACAAGGGGGTCCCAGGAAGTATGGGCGAATCTGTGACATCCTGGCATTTCCTCACCCTCTTCGCCCTCCCCTCCTCCCACCCTCTCCCAGGAGGGAGGGGGCTGAACGTTCGAAGGGCAGAGGGAGGGCCCCCCTCTCCTGTGCCCCCTTCTCCACCCTTGTTTCTTGCACATTTGCACGTGGCTCCCGCATGTTGCGGAAGAGCGAGGGGGCGGCTGGGCCGTCGGCAGTCTGCCAGGCTCAGGGGAAGCCCGCTGTAGGCGCTGAGTGTTCATCAAAGCAAAGTGGGTGGGTCGCGGGGGGGTCGCGGGGTGGGTCGCGGGGTGGGTCGCGCGGGTCGATTGCGGGGTGGGTCGCGGGTGGGACGACGGCAACAAAAATAAAACACTTTGTTGTAACATTGCTTGTTCTTCGTTGCACTCGTGCCACTCAACATGTATACCCAAATCCTCGATACGAGCCCTCTTCGTCTTCGATTCGATCGTTCGCTCTTTGGGGGGTTGTCTTCCTTCCCTGCCACGTGTTGTTGGGGCGGCCTCTCAAATAGAAGGAGGAGGAGGAGGAGGAGGAGGACCAGTAGGAGGAGGAGGAGGAGGAGGAGGAGGAGGATGAGGATGAGGATGAGGAGGAGGAGGAGGAGGAGGAGGAGAAGGAGGAGGGACACAGACAGAGGAGCGAGCGAGGAAGTCGCAGGAAACGAGATCGGAAGGGGGACAAGAGGAACGGAGGAGGACAGAGGGCGAAGGAGATTCAGCCGCGGGGGGGGAACACGAGAGAGGAACACGGATCTCGGCAGGCTGGCCCGGACGGGCGGGCCGGCCCTCACGGGCGTGCCCTGGGCGGGCGGACCCTGGCGGGCGCGTCCGGCGGTCGGGGCACCAGAGCGGGCGGCGGGCTTCCGATTGCACGGCAGACCTCAGAGCGTGAATGACCTACCTCGCTTTCGCTTCCAGGGGAAACCAAGTCATACCACGCGCCTCCCCGTCAAGCGGCCTGACCAGTACCGGCCGCAGCTCGGCATCGCTTGGTACCTCTCGGAGGCGAGGGTGGTCAAAAGCGAGGTAGGTTTGTCTGCCCCCTAAGACCAGCCCCCGACGCGCAGGCCGGGCGGGCGGACCCGAACTCACCGAGCGCGTTGCACTACTCGCAGAGTCTCGCCACGTGCCTGCTCGCAAACGCCCGAAAAACACGTGTGTGTGTGCTTCGATGCGATTGATCGTAGATCCCCCACGGCGGATCCAGGCCATTTGCGAGCAGCTTCTTTGCGAGTAGTGGAACGCGCTCGTCTACTCACGGGCGGGTGGGGCGGGCGGACCCTGATGGGCGGGCTGGGCGGGCGGGGACTGACGGGCCCCAGCTGGCGGGCGCTGGGCGGGCCCGGACTGGCGGATCGGGAGGGCGGGGCACTGAAACTAATTTCGCAAGTTGTGAAGAGGCGCCAGGCGTGAGAGCGAGTCCCGAGCAAATCGTGAGGCCGTCCTCGTGCGAGCGCCCGATTCCTGGACGTGCAGAGCGCAGCGCCTTTCCGAGGCGAGAGCGCGGTTCCTGAGTAAATTGAGGAAGTCTCGAGCGAGAGCTCGACTTTCAATAATTTGCCATGGGGTATCAGGCGGGAGCGGCTGATGTTACAAACCGAGGACCAGGGGCGCAGTGTGAGGCTCACGACATTTCCAGAACAAGAATCAGGTGGGTTTGGCCATCTATATTTCTTTTCTACTAGTGAGAGCTCAGCAACAGCAACAACACAACAACAAGCATGATCCGCCAGTCAAGCCGCGACAGGAAGGTTGATTTTTGGCGCTTGAAATTCCAAGACTAATGTTTTTCACGCTGCATGATATTCAAACGGCTTGCTCCCAACGGGGCATTTCCATCTGGGGGAATGACCCCTTTTAGGGGCCTGTGAAGGGGAGCTTGTTAGGAAGGGTTTATTCCAACAACGTTGGTGGGTCTTGGTTTACACTGGTCCTCTTTCCTGCTCCTCCTCCTCCTCCTCCTACCTCTCCTCCTCCTCCTCCTCCTCCTCCTCCTCCTCCTCCTCCTCCTCCTCCTCTTTGGGTTCCGGGCACGGGGGTGGACTTAGGTTGCCAGTCCGCCCCGACAGTTGCTCAGCCCCACCCCTCCCCCTCGCGATCATGGGCGGAGGAGGAGAGGTGCCGCTGCGGCTAGGTGTGCAACGCCACATCAGGGCCCAGCACCTCATTCAGCGTCGGCAGCGTCCTGCCGTCTCAGCGGCCCCACCCGCGGCCGCTGTGGAGAACATTGGTGGCCCAGTGCCACGAGGTTTCGGGTTAGGGTCGGGTCGGCCAACCCTTAGCCTCCCTCTTAGCCAAGTGATGGTCCTCCTCCTCCTCTTTCTCTTCCTCTTCCTCGTCCTCCTCGTGCTCCTTCCCTCCCCCCTGGGGTGTCGTGGGGGGCGGTGCGCTCCCGCGGCTCCCGCACCCCGCCAGGTCGACCTGCCGCGCGTCCGGCGGGACGTGCCGCAGGACCAGCAGGCGATCGTGGAGGCGCCCTTACGTTGTCCTCGTCGTCCTCCTCGCCCTCGTCCTCGCCCTCGTCCGTGTCCTCGTCCTCGTCGTCCGTGTCCTCGTCCTCCTCGTCGTCGTCGTTGTCATCGTCGTCGTCGTCGTTGTCCTGGTCCTCGTCTTCGTCGTTGTGTCGTTGTCGTCGTCGCCCTCGTCCTGGTCGCCGTCCTCGTCCTCGTCCTTGTCGTTGCCCTCATCCTCGTCCTCGTCCTTGTCCTCGCCCTCGTCCTCGTCCTCGTCTTTGTCTTGTCGTCGTCCTTGTCCTCGTCGTCGTCCTTGTCCTCTTCCTTGTCGTCGCCATCTTGCTCCCCTGAGATCCGGGCGTCGCATTGGTCTCGCACCTGGCGCTTTCACTAGGCTTCGGGCCCCAGAGCACTCACGGATCGCTCCCGCTTGAGAATTGTCGCAGGAAGTTGGTGCCTGGAGCGCTGGCCGTGATGCTCTGCTATGTTCGGCGGCGAGCGAGGGTGGGAAGTGAGAAGGAAAAGGTCTTCTCGGAAGGCGGCGGGACTTTTCAGAGGCTCTCGCGCCTTCTGAGAAGTGTTCTGTGTCTTCGGGGAAGGCTCTGGAAACCGTTCAGAAGGCGGGGGACCTCCGAGTCTTCCGAGAAGGCCCTCCCCATCTCGCTTCCCCCCCTCGCTCGCCGCCTGTGTGCTGCACTTTCCTGCAGCGTCGGATCTCGAGGTCTCTCTTCCCACTTCTCCCCCTCGCCGTCGGCGTCCCGGTCCCACTGTGCCATCCTCCCTCCGTGGCCGGCCGCCCTCGTCGTTCTCCTCGTCCTGCTCCTTCTGTCCCCCCCCCCCTGATCCTGCTGCCCCTCCCTCCGCACCCTCCCTGCTCCTCCTGCTCCCCCCCGCTCCTCCTCCCCCATCGTTCTCTTTCTCCGCCTCCTCTTTCTTCGCCTCATCCTCCCTCTCCTCCCTCGACCGTGAAGTCGCCTCCTCCTGCTCCTCCTCACTGTCGCAGTTCCCCCTCCCCTCCGAGGGAGCCGCGAGGGAGCCAGAGGGGGAGGGGGCGGAGAGGGCGTGAGAGGGTGCGCGAGGGGGGTGGAGGTGGGGGCAAAGGTCGAGTGAGAGCAATCTGGGCCTCATAGAGGGTGTCGGAGTAGATGGGGTCGGAGGATCGCGCCGCATCGCCAATGCATCGGCGATGCGGCTCGATGTGGAACGCGATCTGCTTCACGTCGATGTCGCCGATGCATCGCTGACGTCGACGATGCATCGCCAGTGCATCGCCGATGCATCGGCGACGCATCGCCGATGTATCGGCGATGCGGCGAGACCTCCGACCCCCTCCTCCTCCACCTCCTTCCGACCCTCCTCCCCTCCTCCTCCTCTCCCTCCTCTCCTCCTCCTCCTCTCATCTCATCTCATCCTCATCATCCTTCCGTCCTTCCTTCCTTCCTTCCTTCCTTCCTCCTCCTCCTTCCTCCCTCCTCCTCCTCCTCCTCCTCCTTCCTTCTTCCTTCTTCCTCCCTCCTTCCTTCCTCCCTCCTTCCTTCTTCCTCCCTCTACTCGGACCCCCTACAGGAGGGCAGGGGGCCAGGAGGAGCAGCAGGAGGGGACGAGCCAGACGCGCCTGGGATTAAGGCGGGCCTGTCCCTCTACAGGAGGAGTATTCAGAATAGATAGCAAATCGTCAGGGGAGGATTTTTTGAGCATTTTTGAACATTTCGGGGGTATTTTGGGGGTGTTTCCCAACCATCCTGTGGTGTTGGGTCCTCGTTTTGAAGAGACGGTGCCCCGCGTTCCTCCTCCTGCTCCTCCTCCTCCTCCTCCTCTCCTCCTCCTCCTCCTCTCCTCCTCCCCCTCCTTGCCTCTGCCCTCCGCATGTCTCTCTGTCGGCGCACCCCTCACACGTTTCGTGGCCCCATAGGGAGCTCCAACTACGGTCCCAGTGGCGGAACTCGCATGGCGGCCTCGGGCCATTTCGGCACACCCCTCACACGTTTCATGGCCCCATAGGGAGCTCCACTTAAGGTCCCAGTGGCGGAACTCGCATGGCGGCCTCGGGCCATTTCGGCACACCCCTCACAAGGATCGTGGCCCCATAGGGAGCTCCACCGAAGGCCCCAGCGGCAGGGTTCGCATAGCGGCCTCGGTCCATTTCGGCACACCCCTTACGAGGATCGTGGCCCCATAGGAGCTCCACCGAAGGCGCCAGTGGCAGCTTCCCTCATGGCTCTCAGAGCCCTCTCCTGCTTCTGCTCCTCGGTTAGGCTGACTGGTCCACCACGGGCTGCCCATCACATTAAGGTGTCTTGTTGTGGTGGGTAGTTCTGCTGCCACTCAACCAGGACAACTAGCTAGAGCAAGTTGTCCCGTTGTGTCTTTGCTATGCTACGCTAAGCGATGCTGTGCGGTGCTGTGCAATCCAATATTATGCAATTTTATGATATGATATGCAATGCTGTGCTATGATATGCTGTGCGATCATGTGCAATAGTGTGCTGCACCATGCCATGTTATGCTATGCGATGCGACCCGATAATGTGCGATACTATGCCACGGTATGCTATGCGAAGCTATGCTGTTATACGCAATGCCTCGCAATCCTGTACTCTGTTTTGATATGCTGTGCGATGCTCTGCTATGATGTATCACGCCATGGTACGACATGAAATGCCCTTTTGTGCTGTGTTGTGCTATTTGATCCCACACGATGATATGTTATGCAATGCAATGGTATGCTATGTTATGTTTTGTCATGCTACGCGATGCTAAACGATGCGATGCTACGCGATGGTGCGATATAGTTCCAGTCTGTCCCTCCCGCAACCTCCCTATCACCCGAAGTGTGGTCGTGTAGGTAGGCCGCTCCCCGGAAATTCAAACCGCCCTTATCCCCCGTTTCACGCGTTTTTCTGGCTTGAATTTCGCGCGAGTAGCCGTTTGGCTCAAAAAGGGCGGCTCAACACACTTGGGAAAGCAGTGTCAGGGGGATCTACTGCACGGGATGGTGTTGCTTGCGCCGCCGCTTCGTTTCGGGCCCCAGCCCTTGGCGGGAAAGAGGGTGAAACCCGTGCGCGCTGAGGGGGGGCAGAAACCGACTGCCGCGAGGGCGACTCGGAGGAAGGCCGAGGCACAGAAGACATCGCATTCGATCATGCCAAGCTACAGGAGGCACACATTTCAAAGTGTTGGGCGCTCCTCGCTGCGAAAGCTGAGTCCATTGAGGAAGTCGTCGCAGCCTCTGGCGCGGAGGCCACGGTCATGCGCGGCGGTCAAAGCGGCGAAGAGGTCACAAACTCCGGCTCTGATTTCCCCGCCGTTGGCACGGAAGGTTCCCAAAAGTGGAAAGGGTTCGCAGACTCTGTCGCGAAAGCGCCCCATTTCGGATGACATGCTCCAGGTGTTTGACGGGTCCCTTTCCGAGGCGCAGCATCTGGAACGCCATGCGGCTTGCAAGGGTTTCTGCATTCGGTGCGATTTGCAGAAGCGCCCCAAGGTTTACGAGGCGTGTACCCTCTACGAGGGCCGTTCTTGGTTGTCGCGAGGCGTTAACCGTGGCATATGGGGCCTCGGGTGCAGGATATGCGCTGAGTTTGCGGCTTCTGGCAACAAGTGTGACGGCGCCAGGTTTTCAAAGTTTGCCAAGTTCCAGATTCGCCCGAAGACGGGTTTTCACGCCAGGATGCTTTTAGAACGACATAGCACTTCCGATTCGCACCGCGTGGCCTGTGGGATAAAAAAGAGAAAGGGTTCCGACATGTTTGCTCAGCCGACTGTACCACAGCCTCTGGCGTGCCCGACCGTTTGGCCAACTGAGAAGCCATGCGAGCTTCTGGCGACCGAGTCTGATACTGGCTTGATAAAGGGAAACGCACCGTCCCCATCGGAGTGGAAAGACGCGTGGGCGGTGCTATCAGAAGGAGTCTCTCACCGGAAGGACGCTCGCATCTGCGATAAGAAAGGGCACGCGCCTGGCTCGGTGGCGAACAGAAGACGGAAACGCCATCGCCGACAACTCCAAGTGATGGCGGAGGTCTTGAGGAAGAATATCCGCAAAGTGCTGCACCAGGCGACTTCCATATCTTTGGCTATCGATGAGTCGAAGTATCGGAAAATCGTCCGGTTTCGCGCCGACCTTCCTGCTGTGCAACATAGCGGTCAGGGCTTCCACTTGGGCAACGTTGGTGCGTCAGGATATTGCCTCTCGGGCGTGTTAGGCCTTCTCGACTGCTCGAAGAAACACGCGTCCGACTTCGAGGAGGACCACGCTGTCACTGCGGTTAAGCAGCTTGATGCATCTCTGACAAAATTTTGCACGCCGCTCGGCAGAATTAAGGGCCGCAGGGGGGCACAGCCCCTGGCGTGCGATGAGGAACTGAAAGCACACGTGCTGCGAACAGTCGCCAGTTTCTCTGCTGATGGCGCGTCCAAGGAGCGGCGTTCAGTCTTCCTCGCTGCTCGCGAACTGTTCCCCAACTTGTTAATCGTGATTCGCGATCCAGCACACGCCATACGCATTGCCGTCAAGTCGATGCATTGCGACGACGTGTTTGGGGAGGTCTGGAGGGAGCTGTTCAATGATCGGCATGCGTTGGTTCCTGACCTAATGCACTCTAACAAGCTGCACAACCTTCTGGTGGCAATCCAGGAGGACAACGACAACGTGCACGCAGTGGCAGTGCCTGGGTTGCCTGGAGGACCCCAGCCCCTGGCGGGAATCGTGCGGAATTTGGCGTTCGCCAAGCAACGCTTCGACTCGACGGCGGACCCAGTGTTGAAAATCCCCCTCTTGCTCGTGCCGGTGGCAACTTTGCTAGCGTACATCGCGTCGGACCGTCGCCACGACCGGGAGCAGCGCCATCGGGCGGGCGCCTTGTTGCGGAAATTCGATACTAAGTTCTGTATGGCCGTTGGTGTGGCCGCGGACTGGGGGATCATATGCAATTGGTTCTTGCGACTCTTCGACGTCGCCAGCCACGAAATTGCAAAGTCGCGTTCCGAGATCGATTGCATGGTCGAGACGCTGGATGCT